GGCTCAGGCAATCCACTCACCTCGGCCTCCCAAAGGTGCGGGATTACAGGCTGAGCCACCGAGCCCGGCTGACCTTTTCCTTTTTGATTTCCCTCTCTGGATAAGAAGGAAGGGATTAGTAAATGCCAACCTATTACATCTCTTATGTCTTTTCCATAGACACTGACACTTGACGTTTTGTTTGTTTTTTAAAATATTTTTCATTCCCAACATAACCACAAAGGTCTCACTTTCTTTCCCAACAAATAATTAAGCTTTACTTTCATGTAGGCTGTATAACTTTCCTTTGCTTGGCCACTCTGAACTCTCTAAAGCTCAAAGTGCTTTTAGTGCCTCACCATTTGTAATTTTAGCAAATACTACATAAATCCACCTACTCTCCATCCAACCCCAAATCAAGAACATATCTGCTGTTTCATTTGTGTCTTTAGTTTGCATGGAATGTTTTCTGGTTGGAAGACTAGTCTGACACTCATCTTGCTATTCAGAACAAACCCTCTTTCAGTACCCTGAGTCACACATGCTAGAGTATGAATCACTTCAGTGGGACATATTCAAAAGTAGGTAAGTAAGAAATTTTCAGGTTTAAAATAGAACATACAATTGAATAAACGTCAACTTTTTTTTGAGTTGGGGTCTCATTCTGTTGCCCAGGCTGGAGTATGTATAGTGGCATGATCATGGCTCACCACAGCCTCATCTACTGGGCTCAGGCAATTCTTCTGCCTCAGCCTCCCAAGTAGCTGGGAACAGACATGTTCACCATACTCAATTAATTTTTTTATTTTTTTGTAGAGATGATGTCATGCTATATTGCCTAGGCTGGTCTTGAACTCCTGGGTAACAGACATGAGCCACCATGCCCAGCCAATGACAACATTTTAATCACATATAATAATCAGATAAAGACTAAAAAGAATCCCACGAAATGAAAACAGTTATAGAGAATTAAAGGTGAAAATTTTTTTTATTGCAAAGCTGCCCTAAATAGATATATATTTTAGGC